TAAAGCAGATCATCTTCTATCTATCTATATAAATAAAAATGTAATGTTCGTTTGTTCCTACCAATTCCTTTGAAATTTTGACACAATGCCGCATTCGAATATGCACGTGTGTTTATATAATATACATGTCGAAATTCCCCCCCACTGAAGGGAGATGGTTAGGATTAAGGCTTACTGTAAAGAACTCTGCTTCTATAAGTAATAGATATGTATATATCCATGGTGTGGTTTACTTTATATTAGTTTTAAAAATATCAATTTTTCAAAAATATTTCCTCAAAATTGATGAAAAAACTTTATGGGTTAATTGTACCTAAATAACCCCCGTTTTTGTGCCTGGACCGCATTTAATCAGAGACAAAGCTTTTATTCGTATTCTTTATTTTCTATGCATTTCGGGTGCAATATTTTCTTTAATTTGCACCCCTCTTCAGGATTTTTACATTTCTATAAATTTGGTAAATTTAATTATTACATCGGTAAATTACTACAATAGTTATACAACGGTTAACTAACCTGTTAAAAAAACCTGTGTTTTTGATTGCATTTTAATAGTGTACGTCAACAGAATGTACACTAAGAAGGGATTTTTTGATATTCCCCCTGCGGGGGAAAGGGACAGGATTAAGACTTACCGTGAAGAACTTGGCTTCTATTACTATTTTAGATGCGGGTTTTTGCATTTTTGATTGCGTTTTAATAGGGTACATGAAGAGAACGTACACTAAGAAGAAATTTTTCAAAACATTTCCCCCCACTGGGGAAGTGTTATATATTTAGAGCCACAACAATGCGTGGCGTGGTCTGCTAGTCTATATATATAATCAAGATGGGTTGATGATGATAATAAGCGCAGAGACCAAACGGTTAGGAGTTAAAAGTTGAAATTTGGTACACAGTTAGGGTATGTCATGAGAATGCACACTAAGAAGGGATTTTTCGAAATTCTCCCCATGGAGGAGGTGGAGAGGATTAAGGCTTATCCTGAAGAACTTGGCTTCTATTTTACTGTACTATTTTAGATGCAGTATTTTGCGTTTTTGACTGCATTTTAGTAGGTACCACAGAGGATGAAAGAAGTGTATTCCTTAACAGTGGAAGTATTAAGAGAATGCAGCATGCAAAATTTACAGGTGCAGATGCAGTTTTTTGAGTTTTTGCGGGAAATCGAACATATTTTTAGACCCATCTAAAAATTCTCTAATTAGTCTGGAAATGGGGGACCTAATTCTTGCATTCTGTGAAAATGAGTAAGATTGGCTATAATGTAATTATCTTAATCTTCACTATCATAACTTTTTGCCCAAGCAACGCTGGGCTTATTTGCTAGTATTCTAATAACAGGATTCAAAACTTGGATACACTGTTTGATAAGTGGATCATAAGGTATGGGTGTTTGAAGAGGGCAACTTGCAACCAATGTTGCACGAGGGCAGAACATAAAGAAAATTATCACTGGACTTCGAACTCACATTTGAGTTATAAATAAACACTTGGTTTTATTTCCATCATTTTAGTTGATCAACTAAAATGATGGAAATAAAGCCAAGTGTTTATTTATAACTCAAATGTGAGTTCGAAGTCCAGTGATAATTTTCTTTATGTTCTGCCCTCGTGCAACATTGGTTGCAAGTTGCCCTCTTCAAACACCCATACCTTATGATCCACTTATCAAACAGTGTATCCAAGTTTTGAATCCTGTTATTAGAATACTAGCAAATAAGCCCAGCGTTGCTTGGGCAAAAAGTTATGATAGTGAAGATTAAGATAATTACATTATAGCCAATCTTACTCATTTTCACAGAATGCAAGAATTAGGTCCCCCATTTCCAGACTAATTAGAGAATTTTTAGATGGGTCTAAAAATATGTTCGATTTCCCGCAAAAACTCAAAAAACTGCATCTGCACCTGTAAATTTTGCATGCTGCATTCTCTTAATACTTCCACTGTTAAGGAATACACTTCTTTCATCCTCTGTGGTACCTACTAAAATGCAGTCAAAAATGCAAAATACTGCATCTAAAATAGTACAGTAAAATAGAAGCCAAGTTCTTCAGGATAAGCCTTAATCCTCTCCACCTCCTCCATGGGGAGAATTTCGAAAAATCCCTTCTTAGTGTGCATTCTCATGACATACCCTAACTGTGTACCAAATTTCAACTTTTAACTCCTAACCGTTTGGTCTCTGCGCTTATTATCATCATCAACCCATCTTGATTATATATATAGACTAGCAGACCACGCCACGCATTGTTGTGGCTCTAAATATATAACACTTCCCCAGTGGGGGGAAATGTTTTGAAAAATTTCTTCTTAGTGTACGTTCTCTTCATGTACCCTATTAAAACGCAATCAAAAATGCAAAAACCCGCATCTAAAATAGTAATAGAAGCCAAGTTCTTCACGGTAAGTCTTAATCCTGTCCCTTTCCCCCGCAGGGGGAATATCAAAAAATCCCTTCTTAGTGTACATTCTGTTGACGTACACTATTAAAATGCAATCAAAAACGCAAAAAACCGCATCTGAAATAGTATAATAGAAGCCAAGTTTTTCACAGTAAGCCTTAATCCTGTCTGTCTCCTGGGGAGGATTTCGACACGTATATTATATAAAAACACGTGCGTATTCGAATGCAGCGTTGTGTCAAAATTTCAAAGGAATCGGTAGGAACAAACGAACATTACATTTTTATTTATATAAATAGATAGAAGATGATCCACTTTAGTTCATTTTTACAGAAAAGCATAATGCCTGGCAGAAAAGCAAACTTAGGGTGTCGTACTCGTAGCGCCATCTGTTGGACATAAAAGCCTTAACCTAGATTATATATTTTAATTTATATGAATATATGTGTTTAATGGAATAATATACAGCCTATGTCCATCCTGAAGTTCCATTCTAAATATTGGTGAAAGAATTTTTGAAATCGGATGAGTAGTTTCGGACATTACCTGCTGCAAACAAACTTACAAACATTACCTCTTTATAATATTAGTATATATATATATAGTTTTCAGAATGTCCTCGATGTAACAGTGTAATATGGGAACAGGAACGCAAAGAAAAACGCACTGTAAGAGGGAAATAAACGACATATTTAGAACATATTTCAAACCGATATTTTCAAATGCTATTTCCACCTATTGTGATTAGTACCAAATCGTTTTTGTAAACACGTGACAAAGGAAATATGGGGTGTTACACGAGAAACACGAACAATTTTAAGCATTTCGTGTAGAACCTCGAAACTTACGAATTCGGTATCTATAATAACTACTATTAGATGCTATTGTCACGCTTTTATATCGAAGTTTCGAGTATGCAACATAAATCTCTCGTTGTTATTAGATACCTAAATCGAAAATATGATCGAAAGTAGTCAGGAAAAGACACCTGTTCTGTTGCTTTTTAAAATCACTTATAATGGAGTTGGTAAAATCGAATGATAAAAGTATTTAATGAGTACATTTATGAAGGTGTCTCTGGCAGATAGTCTTTCCAACAACCTAACTATGGCAACTTAATTTTCTCGTTAATATAAAATTTTACCTGAACGTAACAAAGCCATATCGATTTTTCATTCTGTATTTTTCTAGAATTTTTCTCAGTGTATAATTTAGTTATCATTCGATTTTAACTGTCAAATTATAAGGTTATATCGATTAGGTTCGAGCGGTGATTATTGACTGATGTGGTGTCAAGGTGATGAGAACAATTACACGTGAGCTATTGTATCATTATCATGCAAATAACTGTTCTATAACTTATTATTATTTTAAACAATAGTATAATTGTAGCATTGTTAATTGCGGTTGTATTATACTTGCGTATAATTTGTCGAAACAGTAATTCTTCAGCTTAATACTATCAGTCGATACTCGCATGTTGCGCCTAATACGTCGCGTGTTACTTTAAATACAGTTCAAATTAATATAGTCTGTAAAAGCTCGAGACTCAGGAAATAGATATTGGAACTTAAATGGGATCTGAACCCATGTCGATGAAAGCTCAAATACATAACTATTGTTTCGTATTGATAATTAGTGTTCAGAAATGTGTGAGGCTTTAACAATAAAGAAAACGGGAGAAAGGAACTTTATTAATTTATAAAAGGAATAAGAAATCGCTGTCATTTTATAAACAGGGCAAGATATATGCGCGGGCATTCCTGGCACGTAATCAGGGCTCCATGAAAAGAAAGTAAGAAAAGTAAAACTAAAAAAATGAGAAACGAAAGAAGTAAGAAATGATAAAGAAGACTACATTTATAGTAGAATTTTCACAAGGCCCGTCACAGAAATCTGTTTTTGCCTTTAGTCTGTTACTGTCATTAACTTCAATTATCTGTTATGTGGAACAGAAGGTTCCACATAACAGATAATTGTAATGACACTATAAAAGCAGTGTGCAAATATTTCTCTATCACGGAATCTAACATTGATGTTTTTTATGGAAAATTGTAGTAAATTCAGGAATTTCTATTCATTTTGGTAAAAGTAATTAAACATGAGTATGAATGAGACACTAACATATAACAGATTATATTATAAATGAGGCTAATTCACAATGGGGACTGCCTCATCGGTAATATAACTTAAATATGTTGCTTTCTGGCATTAAAATAATAAATTAAATCGATTGGAATAGAATAATAGTTATGTGTTGTTCTTAGCTCTATAAATATACGAAATTACGGTAACTAATTAATTTTATTTTCATTTTAGTGTCGAACTGGATCGCAGTTGGATGAATATCATACCTCCTGATTACGATAATTACGCGCCTCCACTTGTTGACGGTAAGAAAATATTTATAATTGTCATCTTTTAATTGGTACAAACACTGAACAGACGTTGAAATCGAGTTTTTTTTACACTTGGTCTTGTTGCAAGAAAGAAATTTTAATGCTCCAAGAAGGTAGACCGTCTTAGATAAGACGGAGTCACGACATATCACAGATTGTAGGGCCCTACGTAACTGGGATGTGTCGGGTCCTGTCTCTGCGTCCTATCGGGCCTGTTCATCAAAAATTCCGCGATAATTTAAAATCATCAAAGTTATAAGCATAAATCGGAACCATTAAGAAGTGCTAACCAATTGTCCAGCTGATAACACTAGTCCTAGGTTCGTCCCTGAACAAGAGCTGCCACGTATAGTTTTTCGGATTTTCTTCACTCCACGGGCTTAAAAACAGTGATCAGTTTCCCATAGAAATTCCACACAGGAAGTAATCTTTTTAGCAGATTGACCATGTGTTGCGTTGATGTATTCTATGAAACAAAAACAAACTACAGTAGACCCCCTATAACACGGGTTTATATAATATGGATTCGTATAACACGGCGAAAAAATTGCTATCGTATTCGTATAAACACGCTAAAAGAGACTCGTATAATACGGTAAAACGTCATCGCCGTCTCGTGTCGCGACAGGATTGGACGAATCTAGACCAATAGCAGATATTGCACAAACCGTTGAGTTTAAACGAGCGGCGGACCTACTAAAAACCATTCATTATTTAACGGCCATAAAAATTATATTTATATTAATGATGTCTCCAAAGTTCAGCGAATTTTTTGCAGAAAAATAACTTATCAGAAAACAAGCGCCCGCCGTTCGATGCATCGCTCGGCGACGAAAACAAGCTTAAGCAATTGCGTCGTCGAACGGTGCACACTCGGTAAGTAATCCTACAATTTTTTGTTTATAGCATGATTTATACGGATTATTCCCCAAAAATTATACGTGTTTTGGAAATGTTGAGTCAAATTAGTCTAGAATCGATTAATTTTATGGAAGACTTCACACTGTCAGCCCATAGTTAAGGAGCGAACCCGCGACCAACCGCGTGTTGAGTGGTTTCATTCACTCCGTTACAGCAGCACGCCGAAGATAATTTTAAGGCTCACGTAATATAATTTAATTTGCAATAAATTTGAGATAATTTTTATTATCAGTGCTGTACATCGTACGGCAATTTATAAATAATATAAACATAATTTAAATTAATCCATTTACTTTAAGGTAAACCTGTTACTGTTTATGTCACTTTGGAAATCCTGGATGTGGATGAAATACGAGAGCAGACAATGGTAAGTGTCACGTCATTGCTGTTGTGTTCTATTATTAATATTAGCATATACATAAAAATATATAGAAGTGCTTCTTAATTTTCAGGACTTTCGTGTATTCTTCTATTTGAATGCGTATTGGACAGATCCTAGATTGAAACTCGAAGTTCTTAATTTAACACTGTCAAAGATACTTCCTCCTTCCGCAGATGACACTCTATGGATTCCGGATTTGATGTTTGACAACAGTAAATGGGGTTATTTTTTCCGATATTCCATTCCGAATACTTTCATTTCAATAACTAAGGATCGCATTCTTCGAAAAACCACAAGGTACATTGATAAAATTGAAATGAAAGATGTTCTTATAAATAGCACATGAGAGAGGGGCATAAATAGGCAGATGCCAAAAGAAGGGAAGTCCAAAAATAACATTTCGCACAGGACATGTGAAAAGTTAGTTACGACACTGTAGGTAAGTAAACAAACCAAGAGCATAGTCTGTTTCGTGGTTTGGTTACTTGCCATTTAGACGCACTTAAACTTAGGTAATTAAATTATATTATAGATAAGAACTTTTATTATTGTTTAAGGTTGCAGATAAAATTATTTATACAGAAGATGTTTAGAAAAAAGAAACCAATTTTAAGGCTACATCTAAGAATTTATTCTTCATTGTTAACTGGAGTATGACAGAAAACATGGGTCTTTTGTCAGACTTTAATAATAATAATAAAATCCAGCAATGAGTTGAGTAACTTTCCCTACAGTACATTTAAAACTGCTGTGATGCCATCTTATTTGATATTTTATGAAAATCTTTTATACTAATAATTAAAATATGAACTGTTCTACGATCAGTTTTGAGCTATCACTATACTTTCCCTCTGTTAAATATAACAGTGGGGAATGTAATAATGACAAAAACACAGGCCCTATTTATATTTTAAAATTAGACGAAGTCACTAAGTTTTATTTATTTTAAATTTCTGAATACATTTTCTCTTTTCGTCGTAATTAACTCATCATACTATATCTAAGATGGAGTCTTAAGAAATGTAAATTTATAAATGAAGGACAATTTGTTCTAAAAAGTAGGACGTTCTAAATGTTTTTGAAGCTTCAACTAAAACAAGTAATAAATTTTATTATTCAAAATGATAAATACATAATTTTTCTTCCAATAGATATAGCTTTCGTGTGGCATGCCCTATGGATTTACATCGTTATCCTCTTGATATTCAAGACTGCGTATTTAAAATTGGTTTGTGTAAGTAAATTTAATAATTAATTTAACGTGTATTTACTATGAATCATGATAATGTGGACTAGTGACAACGAAATACATTATATAAACGCCGGGCACAGATATTTTAAAATATATGGAGAAAGCCATATATAATACGAACAGTTATATTTCTCTATTTGCAATTAAAGCTAAATATTTATTATGTAATTTGGCAGGTGGCAGGCTGCAAGACCACCATCTCTTGTTAAATGTAATAGGCGGCCCCGGAGTCATACCTCCTACCAAACTGCTTATTAANAAAAACACCCACGTGGGGGCGATATCGCTCCCGTTGAGAAACACTGCTTTAGAGATAAGGTAGCATGTAATTCGTGGTACAGGAGTTGTGTAACCTTAATTTGGCAAAACTAATCTGACAGAGCTTTGGAACCAAGGGTGTCAGATAATTGGTACTGGACCTATTGCATATTTCTGTATACCATATATTTGATAAATGGTGTTCAATATTTTTTCAATAGACAGTAAAGATGTTTATTCCAGGATATTCTACTGAATATAAATAATCAATACTTTGTCGACAATGTTACTTGTAGTTGAATGGAAAAATTCTTTGAATGTACAGGGTGATCCATTCAGGACTGGAAGCTTACTTTGTTCCGTACCTTGTGATTGCGTAGTCACATTTCAATAACGTGTAATTTAAAACATACCTTGATTGACTATTTTGTCACAAATCATTTAGTTTGTGTTTTGTGCTCTACCTTTTATACAGAGGTGTTCCACATAGTTTCACTGAGGCTGATGGTGGGATAATCAAATAGTGTGGGAGAGACTTAATATATCTAGGACAGACACCCGTAAACAAATCCTGGGGTCACTTGCTTGGATTCTATATCAGATGCTGCAGCTGTCAGATTGGATTGATAGAATAAGATAACACAACACTTGGGCAATCTATCAAGAGGGATGCCTCCCTAGAGAATTTTGTATGATAAACTGGCCTCTTAGGTGTTATACATGCGAAGAAAACCCAGAAATCTCTACGTAGCCAGCACATTGCTCATGTGAATCCACAGAAAGTGTCAATGTTCAGTGGGTGTCACTTGGTGTCAGACCTTTTTCTTTTAAGATTTAATTTTATAAATGTATAGCATTAATATGGGATTATAAAACAAGTTATATTGTTATATACTTTACTAAATATGAAAATAAATTTCAGTTTTTTCTTAAATAGGCATGAGAGTTGGAGGGAAGAGAAAAATCATAGTTCCTCCTTCAGAAGGGTAAGCATATACAGTAATTTAGAATTAGAAGATTTGAATGTCACAATAACTGAAATATATATTCTTATATAATTACTTTTTGAGGTTTGGAAACAAAACAGTCGGATCCGTTCCTCCCAACAGCACGCTAATTTATGAAGTGGAGTTGAAAGCGGTCAGTTAACATCTGCAAACTATAAAAGAAGAATTTATAAATTTAAATTTTTGATTTGGATTTTATATTTTTACATTCAAAGATTACTTTGTGAAGTATATTTAATTTCATTGTTAAAGTTTATTGATATATTTAAAATTGTCTTTTGTTGTAACAAATCAAGGAAGTTCAGATTGTGGTGAAGAATTCTGTATCCAAATTTGATTTTAAAGTTATATTGTTACTAAAACATGCTGTATATATTAAATTTAGATTTATTTTTTAAATAAATTTTGAGGATTTCAAATGAGTGATTTAGTTTTTGTAATAGCTTCAGCAAATTCAGCTGTAATTATCTTCTTATTCCGGTGACAATATACTTTTAATATGTTGTGTGATGAGGAATTTTCCCGCACACAACATATTGAAGGAATCTACAGAAATTTTACATTAACCCCTCTATCTCCCCACCCTCTCGACATTTCGCCACCAAAATTTACTAGCATCGATGCCCCTTATATACAAGTCACTATTCCAAATTTTATTTCTTAATCTTTACCCCATGCTGTGATAAACGAAATAGACTCCAACACATCTACGGAATTTTTTCACTTTTTTGGATTCAGGAGGTCTCAAAACATGGAGATTTGCAAAAGATTCCAATGACTCCTTTGTCATGTATTCACACCAGCCAGGGAAGTAAAAAATCTGTTAAAAAGTTTCATTAAACAGATGCATCTATTGTTTTCGAAAACAGGCTTTAAAGTCGTTTTCTCCAAACCCCTTCTTGACTGGCAACGAGTTTTGTTTTATGGCATCGATTGACTGAAAACGGTGAGAAGCAGGCAAAAGTTTGGTGGAGGAAAGACGGTCCCATATCGGATGAATACGGACCACATTTGTTGACTTGACCCAAAATTAACAAGGAACAGGAGCATTGTCGGCGAATGTTCCGTGGTGCAAAATCCACGAGTTTCCTGGCCACAAATCGTGTGGTTTTCTACGAATTTCTTCAGGCAAACGATTAAACGTATCCGTTGTTGACAGTTTGGCTAGATGGAAGGAATTCGTGTTGCACGACTGTCCCATAATCGAAGAAAACAATCCAGGAGACCTTGATTTTGGTATGATTTTGCCATGATCTTTTCGGGTCTAGCTTCACCTTTTCGTGCTCCATTTACTCGACTGCCAAACCGTTTCGGTGCCAGAACGTTGATTCACGTTTCGTGGGCTGTAACGATGTGTTTTAATTAAGAACGATTCGACGAGCGCCAAATCTGATTTGTTCATCGGTCGAAGTAGATGGTTTACCAGAGCGTGGTTCGTTTTCAACGCGTTCTCTGCCTTCGTACATCTTGTACCTTCGAAAACTCTAGTTCTTGTTAGAGTAATGTTCACAAAGGCATCTTGCAACACTTCCAGCGTTTTTGTATCAGTAATTCAATGCACGTTTTTTGCTCCACGACACTCGACAATTTGAAAATTACAGCCCAATTGATAGCTTGTATCTTGTAATTTTTATGCAAAAGGACCATGACATACTTTTCCATCTCACCAGGGTCATCAATGTTATGATTAAGAGCATGGAACTTAGGGAAGACATTCAATTTACCAGATTAATTTTGTGATTTTGTAAATAAAATAACGCTTAAATTATTTTAAGTATTGAGGCAACGTGCCAAGTGAAGTTATTTGAATGTAACTCCTATAATTTACTCTCGACGTTTATCGATTCCTACTCATTGTTAACTGTGACTATATAGTTGCGTGAAGAAGTAACTCTATAAAAATGTAATTATAGTCTGCAAACAAAGCGTAATTTGAATAGAGTGGATCGAAACCATTATCTATATTATTCTAACTTCATATTGAAATCAAATTTTTAATATTAAAAAATAGAGACTGAAAATGGCTTCACGGGAAAAGCCATATTACCATAACAAAGAAAAAGTACCGCAATGTTTGTGTGTTTTAAGAAATAATTAAATTTTATGTCTTGAAAATAGAAAACATAAATCTACAATAGAAAAATTCTCCTTCCCTTAGATTGTGAGGATTTGTTGGTGATGAAGTTGATAAAATCATTTACAACTGAAATCGTACATTTAATAATTCATGGATATTAAAGGGTTCACTAAAGTTGATCCGTGTTTTAGGAGAAAAGAGGTGTATCTTCGTTTCTCTATAACACCAGCCATTATACAATGATGAAATATATAATGCAATTACACTACGTATTACGCATTAATGATATATCGATGTATGGTATGAACTTATTTTAGGTAATTTTTAGAAATTAGTGAATGTATACACGAAGAGCAAAGCGAGAATCTTAGGAAGCAACAAGTATTGAAGCTTTTTTTGTTCTTACATTTTCTAATTTGTAAAAATTTTAATACTAAAAATGCTACTGAAACATTCAAATTCGGATTAATCCGACCCCCGATTAACCGACTGTCCTAGTCGGCAAATTTCGAATGTCTGCTAGTGATGTGGCGCTACAATATTTGGCTATGTCTTGGCTACTTTAATATTATTTTTACGTGTTTTAGCTGGCAACACTCATTCGACTGTGAAAGGGAACCAGTATTTAAACGAGGCTTAAGTTTCTAATTTTTAACGATACAATAGCGACGATTATTATTTTAAAAAAATTTTGTTAGGCTTCACATCGATGAAAATTCAACGCGAAGTAGGTTAATAGCGATATAGTAATTACATGGGATATAATAATATGCTACACTAATAATTGATTTTTTCATACTTTTCGGTTATCTGACTTTTCAATTATCCGACCAACCCCAGTCCCCAATTGGGTCGGATAATCGAGGCTCTACTGTACTAAAAATGCTACTGAAACATTCAAATTCGGATTAATTCGGATGTAATCTTAAAAATGCTTGTCTTGAGTAAAATATTTAAAGAGTAATTTGAAATTCTAACTATAAATTTCCCAGCTGATGATAATTATTATACAGTTTTCAAGAATTTGCACGCGACAGACTAAACTCCTTTCATTATAATCGATCATTACCTTGCGTGTGATATAATTTGTTCTGTATTGCATGATATCTCTGTGGATCTCCAAGAGAAGAGCCTAGCTTTTTCGATCTGTCTCTCTCAACAATTATTTGTCCCTGGAAACATGGATCTATCTGATAACCTTGCATGTAAACTTTTCACCAATCACACACACACACGGGTCTGGATGCAGTCGCTTACAGTGAGTCCCCATCGTCAAAATAACCGGAATTGATTCTTTTAATGCCACGTTTTAACCTGTAGGGAAATGAAAAAAAGGCATAGCTTCCGTGCTTCCAGATTTATGGGACACCGTGTATACAATGGACAATGTTATTGTATAAAATAAATCAATATTGTCAGACAAATCTTAATTCTTGCAGATGGAATCTTTCTTAGTTACAACACAATGGTATACACTAAAAACAAAACAAATATTGTTTAAATTTAATACGAACAATTAAAATAGAAAAATCAGTTTTGGTATACAGTTACATCCATGGCCGTATTTGTACTATACTTAAATGTTTTGCTTCGTTATTGATTAGTTTTTAACCCTTCCATCCCGTGTGGGCACTAAAGGGGATATATA